GAAGAGTGCTGAATATCCCATGAACTGCCAAAGGACAAGTGGTTATGTTTTGGGAAAAGTGCAGCACGGGTATTCCTGGAAACAAGGATGGTGAAACTTTACCTCACTCACTTTGGGCATGTTATCAGGAGAGATCTGTCAGTGGAAAAAGACATCAGTCTTGGAAAAATGGAGGGTCAGAGAAAGAGAGGAAGCCCTCAACAAATACGAATTGACACAGTGATTGTACCAGTAGACCCAAGTATATCAGAGATAATGAGAATTTCACAGGATAGAGCAAAGCCAAGATCTGTTTATAGGGTTGCTGTGAGTCGTACTCCACTCATTGAAACTAACAACCAAAAAGGAAACTTAAAAAGTAAAATTGTCCCTTAGAACAGTAAAGTATCAGAAAAAAAATCTTCATTTGTCTGGAGAACAATTAGATTAAATTTTATGTTACATTGAAAGATAAAGCTTACTGTTCCATTTCTTTTGTTAATACTTTTTTATAGAGCTTTGAAACTTTAACAACAACCTGTTGTTGTTGTTGTTATATGCCATGCCTGTAGGTTCTGAACTCATAAAATCCTGAATTTCATCTTCTCTGTATCCTCAATACCTAGCTGTGGTTGCTAAATGTTGAATAAATGAGCTTTGTCCTTTGTCCTCTGAATAATTTCTGTAGGAGAGGGTATCAACAAGCTAGTCACTATATCTATTGTTAATCTCTACATATTCAGCAGTTAAAAATGCAAGCAGAATGTTTTAAAAATTCCATTTAATGATCCAATATGTAATACTTGGATGTAATTATTAAATTCTTAAGTTGGAAATTATGAAAATGGCAGGTAGAGTGAGAACATTTATTATTTAAATTAGTTTCTGACAGACAATTCACTGGTAGAACTGTGCCTGACAACTCACTGGTGGAACAGTGCCTTTTGTCTGAATTCTCTGTCTATATGGATGAGATTCAGTTCTATACTTGATTAACTGATTTGATAAAATTTAAGTTTCTCCTCATAATTATAGTACAGTATTTGTTTTTCTTAAAAAGACTTTCAGCATATTCTAATATCGAGTCTCAACTTCATTCTCTAAAGTTTGTAATGTTAATTTTTTGATGTGTCATTTATATATTCGTATTTGTACTTTATATTATATGATAATCTTTATATCTTCACAGTCTATTTATTGTTTTAACACGAACCCAAGCATTTTATATAATCACCATTGGAATTAAGTATATTTGGTATTTTACTGAAATTCTGGATAGCAAGATAAATAATAGAATTTTCCTGTGCTGAGAAGAAAATGTTTCTAGTTTGCAGTCATATTTTCCCATGTACTTTTCTGTTTTTTTTCTGCTATTTTAATTTTGTTCATACTGTTTTACATTGCTTTTCCATATGCCCTCCCTCCACCAACTTGAAAATTCATGGCAAAATTTATAGTTGTCCCTAATTTATGAATATAAAGATGTGTATTCTGAAAATCAGTATAAGAAAGACATTAAGTTTCTAAGGGAGCTCTGGTGGCCTAGTGCTAAGGAATTGCCTTACCAACCTGAAGGCATTCAGTCCACATCCACTAGCTGCTATGTGGGAGCAAAATGAGTCATCAACTTTCATGTGATTTACTGCCTCTGAAAATCTGGGGGAGGGCCAGCTATGAGTTGGTTCTGACTTCATGGTATATAGCATCATCAATAGTTGCAGTTTCTTTTACCATTACACTTACCTTCTGTAAAGTACTAGTTATTTAAGACAATATATAAAAGGACTATATTAAACATAATAAATTTAAAGATTATTTTGAATTAATATCAGAATGTAGCATTTTCTGTGCTGCAACTTAAAAGTTACTTGTATTTGGGATAGCTAATAATAGCAGCACATTTCTAATAATCTTATAACCTTCAGTCATATAACCCTGATGGGAGAGTGTGTCACAGTTCTACAACTTAATTTTTTCCTCAGTTATTTTTTTAAAAACAACAACTATTTTTTAAATTTTACAACAATTTGCACACAAAATTCATATGCATTGTGATTCACACTATCCTTCATATTGTGTTTCATATAATCATTTCCATGCATTGTTTTATAAAGACATTTACTATTAAACCATGCTCACCATTACTCTGTCTTTCTGTCCCCACTGGATCTCTCTCCCTCTCAACCTCCTCCCAGATTGTGAAACCCTATGATCTCCCCTCCTGCTCACCCTCCCCTCTCTGTTTCTACTTCTGTCTCTTCGCCCCAGCCCCCTTGGATCCCTATACACATTTTCCCGGATATCCTTCTGTTTTTATAATAATGATCCTAAGCAGTGTTGTTTTTTTTTTAATTTAGGTTGTTTATTTTTCATTTCAATGAACATCTACAGAGATTTTGGAATTCCATTCATTCATTGTTGCACCCTTCTCCCTGCATCCCCCCCCCCCAGTTTGCTCCTCTCCTTGAAAAGCAAAAGAAAAACTCCCTCATTGGTACACAATCCCCCCCTCACCTCCCCAAACCCCACCCCCTACCCCCAAATATAATCCACTCTGCAACCCCCATTGCGTACTCCTACGATAAAAATAATGCCCTAAAATATAATACTTTTAGACTATTCTCTCCCCCATAGACTTCAATGCCGTAAACATATTTCATCTGCAGTATTTATCTTTATGAGACTGAGTGAGTTCACTAAGCATAATGCCCCACAGTTTCTCCCAAGTTATGTAGTGATTTCAAAATTTTCTGGACCATAATTTTAAGCCTTTATGGGGAGAAAAAACTGGAGTGTTAAAAGCAGCACTTGTTAGTTATTCAATAATACTACTTGTGGCTATTAATATGCTTGTGTAAAACCTGTAGCTATTGGTCTGTCAGAACAGAGCCAGGGCACATTACCTGCTTAAAAATCAGAAAAGCATGTGCCACGGCTCTGCCTTTTCTCCACACCTATCCAATCTGTATGCTGAGCAAGTTGTTTGAGAAACTTTATGAAGAAGGCAGCATCAGAGGAATGTAGAATCAGAGGAAGACTCATCAACAAACTTTGTTATGCAGATGGACACAGTGACACAGTTTGCTTGCTGAAAGTGAGAACTTGAAGTTCTTTCTTCAGAGGATCAAGGATTGCAGACTTCAATGTAGAGTGTTGAGCCTCTTTGGGATGTTCTCAGCCTCAGGAAAACAAAAATCTTAACCAGTGGCAACATCATGATAGATGGAGAAAATACTGAAATTGTCAACTATTTTAACTTGCTTACATTCAGAGTCAACACCCTTGGTACCAATATTCAGAAGATTTGGTGGCTTATAGCATCAGGAAACTGTATTGTCAGAAACCTCACCAGAGTTCTTAAGAACAGTGATTATCAATTTAAAGATGAAGGTGTGCCTGATTCAAGCCATAGTCTTTTCAGTCACCTGCTGTGCATCTGAGAGCTGGACAGTGGATAAGGATGACAGAAGAACTGATACCTTTAAGTTGTGGTATTGGAGAACAGTGCTGAATATTCTGTGGACTGCCAAAACATCAAACAGATGTGTCTTGGAGAAAGTGCAACTAGATTGCTCCTTGGAGGCAAGGATGACAAAGCTTTGTCTCACATACATAGGGTATGTTTCTAGGAGAGGCTGTGCTTTGGAGAGGTGCATCATGCTTGGAAAGGTAGGTAGATAGCAAAGAAGACTGAGTAAGATTGAGTGGGATAGATTGTTAAGTGGTAGGCTTATATGTATTGGGAATTATAAGGATGGTACAGAACAGGACAAGATGCAGATCTGTTGTTTAGAGTTGTGCTCAACTCAGTGGCACTTAACAACAACAACAACAACAACTTTTGATCAGTTTTTATTAGCTTACCAAGATAAGATAATTTTGCTTGACCTTGAGTTTTCCAGTTGACTTTTTGTATGATTTATGTCGTTGTAAAGAAAGAATAAGAATAGTCCCTTTTGAGAGGCTTCAACCATTTATTTAGCTTTGGAAATTAAGAAAGTTACTTTTTCTATTTGTTTTGTACTTTTTCTATTTGTTTACCCTTTTTTCCTAATTAATCTTTAGTAGTTCTTAACTTTCCATCTGTTTGCATTTTTTGTTATTCCTAAATTGTTCATCTTTTTTTACCTCTGGAATTTTCATTTCCGTAATTAAATAGATGTCTCATTTCTTGGCCCCATACAAAATAGGCATGCAAATTCAAGGTCTAAAAACAATGGATTTGAGAACTCACTTAATTCTGCTGCTTACTACAAAGTTGACATTCTGCAGCCATCAGGTGCTCTGCTTGAGAAAAATATGGTAGTCTGCTTCCTAAAGAGTTACAGGCTAGGCTATTTTGCTCTGTATTGCATGGTCAATATTAGTAAAAATGGGCTCAGTGGCATTGGGTAGGTGGATGGAGAGCTGATGGCAAAAATGAGAAGTGTGTTACATCATCCACGGCTGATATTTCCTAGTGTGTAGCAGAGTATGGTTTTTGGTGGCTTTTTTGTTTTCTTTCTTTCTTTTTTTTCGTTTTTTATTAATTTCAGTGAACATCTACAGAGATTTTGGAATTCCGTTCATTCATTGTTGCACTTTTCTCCCCGCCCCCCCCAACCCCCCACTCCCACCCCCAGTTCACTCCTCTCCTTGAAAAAGCAAAACTCCTTCGGTGGCTTTTTTTTTAATTGATTTTCTTGTGTTTCACACTATTCATTCACACGTTGCTTTTTATTAGTATCTTAAAAGGCTATAATATCTTAAAATGTCACGTCTTTAGGAGATTTTTTTCTTTTAGAAGAATGTTAATTTGATCTGTATAAGACATATGTTCATAATTTTAATTGTGAATGCTTTTTTTAACCTAGAATATATTTTAAAACTTTTGATACATATTTAATAATTTGATGTTCATTCTTTATTTCTATTAAAAAACACACTTTAGAGCAACATAGTTTCCCTGAACTGAGTAAAACAAGTAACTGAAATTTTAAGAATGAACACTATAAATTTGTAATTGTTTGCTTTTCTTATAGTCAGAAATTGGGTTTGGGAAAATGGAAACCTATATCAAACTGGAAAAGCTTGGAGAAGTAAGTAAACCTATTTTTTTTTTAAAGTAGATTTCCCCCCTTATCGTCCCAATCTCAGTAGCAGTTAGCAGTCTGATAACTTTCAGTTAGCAGTCCAGTACTTTACACACTTTTCTACTAGGGCTCCTTAAAGTATAAAAACAAAATTAAAACATTGGCAAATATATATACATAAATAATTTTGTCAGAGGAAATTTCTATTGCTAGATATATGTATGTATTATAAGTGCTGCGAATAGACCCATGCCATGACTGGAGTAGAGAATACGGGGGACCAAGTTAGGAAAACTACTTAGGCAAAGCCAGACACTGAACCTGATCAGGACTGTAGTCTTAATGATATAAAATTTAGTTGGCATATCATAGTCCATAAGAACAAGATTCTGTATTCTACTTGGAATGAATAGCAACTGAGATCTTAAAAGCTTGTTAGTGACTATTTAAGGTGCAGTTGTTCTTTCTACTTGGCCTAAAGCAAAGGACTGTGAAGAAGATTAACGTTATAGAGAAGCAGTCCAAGTCCAAAGTACTAATGGACTACAGGCTGCAAGATCATGAATTATATCAACCTAGGTGGGGCCCAGGTATTGCTGCTGACAGCTCTAAAAGGCATCACATTAGAAAGTTTTGAGTAGAGTGGGAGAAAAATGATGAAAATTCAAAAGGGTTAGTCTTACTGATCTGATAAAGGCTATTGAATCTCCTGTAACTGGCCCTTAGATACCTTTCAAGAATGGAACCAAACCATCTGTGGTTCAGCTGGCAGATAATTAATAAGATAGGCCAAGGTGGCCAGTGGGTAAGGTGTTTCACTGCCAACCCTAAGGGGTGTCATTTGACTCTACCAGCTGTTCCATGGGAGAAAAATGGACACTCTCCTGCAGTTTACAGCATCTGAAAAACCTGCTGGAGATCAGTCATGAGTTGGCTCCACCTTAATGGCATATAACAACAAAGTGAAAAATAAAGTAAGAAATATAAATTTGCTAGGGTAACCAACCATGAGGACAAAAGAGTTGGATTTTACCTGGATGAAGCTCAGAAGTAGAAAAGAATAGAAATGGAGGAATGGAAATGACAATAGAGAGGAAATAGATAAGTGGTGGTTTTTTTTTGTTTTTTTTTTTTAGTATTTTAATCAGTGTGAATAAATTGGTCAATGAAAAACTGATTTGCTCTGTAACCTTTCACTCAAGTCATAAGGATTTTTTTTTAAAAAGGTAGATTAAATACTGTCCTTTTGTTTCTATACATTTGGGTTAACTCTGTTGGAGTTGAAAGTCTTAAACATGTGCACACAGAAGAGAAAAATCATCTTAGCTCTAGAAAAATAAATGGTGATTGTAGAGGTTTCTTTGGGGGTGGAATTTAGTATCTGCTAAGAAATAAGATACTCAGGTAAGGTCTTTTATAGATGGCCATTTGTGATATATATTTTTATAGGGTACATATGCAACTGTATACAAAGGCAGAAGTAAATTAACCGAGAATTTAGTGGCATTGAAAGAGATCCGATTGGAACATGAAGAAGGTGCACCCTGCACAGCTATAAGAGAAGGTAAAACAATTACTTGACAGATTAAACTGTATTGCATAGTTTAAATTACATTTTCTTTATAAATATTTGACAAATATTAATATATTGGTGCATAAAAATCAAATTAATATACATAATTAGTTAATACGTCATGATACCATTTTATAAAGAAAAACTAGATGATTCAGAAAATGGTTTGAAACAACTGGTTAGTAATACGGAGCAGGGGAATATATGGCACTTTATATCTACCGGAATTAAAAAAGCTTTGACCTTTACATGTAAGAAAAAAGCACAAGATGATGTGGAGAGGAGTATGGTAATATTTCTAACTCTTTGAGGTATTAGAATACCAGACCCAGACCACAAAATAACTATTAAATTGATTCTTTTAAATAGCTATTACCAATCCCTTTGGGGAATTAATGATTTAAATTTAACAGACTCTTAAAATCAATTAGGTCATGTATTTAAATATTTTACAAAGACTTAAAATACAGACTAAATTATTTACTTTCTTTTTTGTTCTGCAGTTTCACTATTAAAGGATTTAAAACATGCAAATATAGTTACGTTACATGACATCGTTCACACAGATAAATCTTTGACTCTGGTCTTTGAGTATCTGGTAAGCAATTAATAAACTGTTAATTTCCTTTTAAATGTTGTTGTTTATTGCCGTCAAGTTGAGCACGACTCAAAGAGACCCTGTGAACAAAAGGCCTGTCATTTATCAAAGTTCATAGAATTTCCAGAGGCATGTTGTTTAGGAAGTAGATGCCACTCCTGCTTTGATTTAGTAACTTTCTAGATAGCTGACACAGAGTAATTTCATGGAACAACATATGATCAAGAGCCTATGGTGATGGAGAGAGTTGAAGGTGCACTGAAGGAATTGATGGAAGGCCCCAGGAATTGATGGAATGCCAATTGACATAGTTCAACAAAGAGATGCTTCCCTGGATGCACTCATCAGGTTATGCCAAGGATTCTGGAAGACAACTGCCTGGCCAGCTTACTGGAAGAGATCTGCATTTATTCCCATTCAAAAAAAAGATGACTTAGCATAGTGTGTAAATTATCAAACAATATCACTCATATCACACACAAACAAGATCCTGTTGAAGATTACCCAGAAATGACTAGAACATCAGCAGAGAACTGCAAGATGCACAGTCCAGGTTTAGAACAGGCTGTGGCACTGTGGACATCCTAGCCAGTGTTAAATGGTCTTGGCTGAAAACAGCGACTACCAGAGGAATATCTTATCTGTGTTTGATTGACTGGGTGTGGATCACAACAAATTGTGGCTAACCTTGAGAAGACTTGGGATCCCAGAACACTGTGAAACCTGTATTTGGACCAGGAAGCAGTAGTCAGATCAGAACAGGAAAATACTGCCGTGGTTCAGAATCAGAAAAGGTGTTTGTCAGGGATGTTTCCTCTTGCCAAACTTTTTCAGTCTATATGCAGAGCAGGCCATTTGGGAGGCTGGACTTCTTGAGGAGGAATTGTAGCATTAGGATTAGAGGAAGACTCATCAACAACTTGCATTAAGCAGATGACACCAACCTTCCTTGCTGAAACGGAAGAGAACATAAGGCATTTGCTGCAGAAGGTCAAGGATTGTAGTCTTCAATATAGCCTGAAGCTTAACATCATCAAGAAAGCAAATATTCTCATCACTGGGCCATTTGGCAACTTCTTGATCGACGGGAAAGCGATTAAGATTGTTGATAACTTCAGCTTGCTTGGTTCCACAGTCAATATTCTTGGTACCAGAAGTCAGGAAATAAAAAGACAAATTTCACTGGCAAAGTCTACTGTCAGAGATTTCTCCAAAGTACTGAAGAACTGTGTCAGTCTGGAGACTAAGGTGTACCTGGTACAGGCCATAGTGTTCTTAATTATTTGCAATGCTTTTGAGAGCTGGACAATGACTAAGGATGATTGAAGAAGGATCAGTGCCTTTGAGCTGTGGTGCTGGAGAAGAGTGTTGAACATACCGTCAACTACCAGGAGAACACAGAGGTCTGTCCTGGAAAGGGGGAAACCAAGCTGCTCCCTAGAGGCAAGAAATTTGAAGCTGCTTCTTACATATTTTGGGCACATAGCTTGGAGGGACCAGTCTTTGGAGAGGGACTTCATGCTTGGAAAGGTGGAGGGACAGCACAGGAGAGGAAGATCCAGAAAGAGATGGATTTACTCAGTGACTGGAAAAATGAGATTAGGTTTGTCAGAGATGATGAGATTGGCTCAGTGTAGGGGCAGGGTTCAGAGCTAATAATGTACATTGGGTCTCTATGAGTCATAGGTGACACAATGGCATGAAACAACAACATTAATTATGGGTATTTAATGGCATTTTGTATGTGGCATATCCTTTACTTGGAAAAGCAATTATTTTTTAAAATTAATTGAATCTACATTGCATTCTGAAAATTATGTAGCACATGGAGTGCTATTTTTTTTTCTTTTTTAGGACAAAGACTTAAAACAGTACATGGATGACTGTGGAAATATCATGAGTATGCACAATGTAAAGGTATGTTTTCATGTGTGTTCTAAGTTTTATTTAGCGCTTAGGCAAACACTACATAATGAATGGCCACTCCATATCTATTCTAATTCAGAATTATTTATTTGACATTTAAATAGTTTATTGTCTTCAGAATATAATCGTTCACAACCTTTATTTATTACACTTAAGAGGGCTCTGGTGGATAAGGCTAAACCAAAGGAAAGAGTCGAAACCATCCTTGTTCCTTGTAAGAAATGTGGGCAGCTTCTTTTCAGTGTACAACTCTGAAAACCTGCTCTAGAGTCAGTAGATTCTGAATTGCTGACAGTAAGATTTTTCTTTTGTTTTTATTACAATATAAATCATTGCAAAAATTTTGTAAAAAATAGAACAGCAAAATTTCCACCCCATCCTCACCCTCTGCTACCACCCTTTGCCCCCCTTAATCTCCCATACACATTTTACTGGTTATCCTTCTATTTTTTACAATTATGGTCCTATGCAGAATTTGTCCTATGAGACTGAGTTAACTTCACTCATCATAATGCTCTCCAGTGTCTTCCAAGTTATGTAGTATTTTTCTAAATCTTTCTAAATGTAGTATTTCTAAATTTTTCCAAGTGTGTATTTCCAAAATTGCTATTCCTTAGTGCTACATAGTATTCTATTGTGTGAATATATCACCGTTTCTCAATCTGGTTGTAGTTGGACATTTGGGCCTGTGATGTTCTGTTGATGGTGAATAATGCTGCTATGAACACTGATGTACAAATCTCTGTTTGTGTCTTAATTCTACTTTCCTTGGGTTATATTCCAAGTAGTGGGATAGCTGGGTCATATGGAGTTTCTATGTTCATCATTTTGAGGAAACATCAAACTGCCTTCTAGAGTGGTGGTACCATTTAACAACAATGAATTTTTGAGTCTACAGTGTTTCTTAGGATTGGATCTTTTCCCAGAACTACTACACATTAAAAAGATTTTAAAAATAACCTTTGATATTTCCTTTCACATTATAATGCTGATTCTCTTTGGGTATAGGATACATTTAGAACTGTATTGTGCTTTAAAAACTATGATTTCAAAATTAAAATGTATACAAATAATGTGTGTGTTCTGCAGAAGACATTTTAAAAAACAAAGTGAACTAGGCAAGGGGGAAGGAGGAAACTGCAACAATGAATGAATGAAAATCCAACTTTTCTGTAAACTTTCATGAAAATCACAATTATGTATTTTTTTTAAAAAGACTTTTTTTTTCAAATGACAGACTCCCCTGAAATAGCTAGAGTATTATTTCATTTTGAAAACTTAAATTTCAGATTTTAATGATGTTATTCTAATGAATGAGGACAGCTAGACAGTATAGTATAATCTTGATACCAGATAAAACTCAAAATAAAAAATTGAGTAAAAGCATTTGATATATTTGTGTTCTTAGCATTCTTTTTTACTTAACTCATATGCTCCAGTTTAGCAAAGATTTATTCATCCAGACTCAATCTAATAGTTTGTAGAACCCTATTCTGGAAATAGGCAATTCCCGCTAATTTATTTTTTTAAACACATGAACTTTCCTCTGCACTTAAGGTTTAATTTAACTAAAACCAAACTCTGCCATTAAGTTGCTACTGACTCGTGGCCACCCTCTATTTGTTTCAGAGGTTGTAAATCTTTAAGAAGAGAGACTTCCATTTCTCTTCTCTGATCTTAAGTTAGAAGTCCGACCCATAGTACACTATGCGACCAGGGCTCCTTAATTTTTTTTTTACACACATTTTGTTGCTGTGCCATCAAGTTGGAACCCACTTACAGCTGACCCTCTGGTGGGTTTTCAGAGGCTATAAATCACATGAGATTAGATTCCCCATTTCCCCTCTAAAGAGCACCTGGTAGATTTGAACCACATGTCTTTGGGTTGACAGAAAAGTTCCTTGCCCCTAGGCCACAAGAGCTCCTTCATGCATATGCACATACATATAAATATTGAAGGATACAGAGAGCATCAGAAGAAGACCAAAGGACAAAGTTCAAGCTGCACTGATGGCATTGAAAAAAAAAATAAGGCCTTGGGAATTGATGGAATATTAAGTGAGGAGTTTCAGCAGAAAAATACTGGCAAGGAATTGCCATAAATACAGGCTGAATTCAAAAGAGACTGTTGAACAAGGAATATTGTTAGTGATGTCAGGTGATCTTGACTGAAAGCAGAGAAAATCAGAAAGGTACTGTTTTATTGACTGCAAAGATGTTTGTCTATTCTATGGATCGTAATAAGTTGTGGATAACATTGAGAAGAATGAGAATTCCACAACACTTAATTGTCGTTTAAACAGAATAAGGGAGAATGAGGAGAATTCCACTATAGTTAATTGCCATTTAAACAGAAAAAGGGATACTACATGTCTTAAAATCAGGAAAGTTACTTGTCCGCTTTCTGTCCTTCCTTTATAATCTATATGCTGAGTAAATGAGCAATGAATAAAGATGACCAAAGAAGAAACATACCTTGGACTGCCAAGAGAATAAATAAACAAATCTGCTTTGGAACAAGTGCATCCAGGGTGCTCCTTGGGAATAAAGGTGATAAAATCTTGTTCACATTGTTTGAACATGTTGTCAGGAGGCACCAGTCTTTAGAAAAAGATGCTATTCAAAATAGTCCGAGAAAGACATACAGGCAAGGAGATCAGTTGACACAGTGGGCTTGAGTGTAGTGCAGATTAAAGGATGTTGCAAGATAGGACAAAATTTCAGTCCTTTACTGCAGTTGGTCTTACTATAGTGGATTCGATGGCAACAAACAACAGCATATGTACTAATGTGTATGTGTGTGTGTGTGTATTCACACATACATGCATATATATACATGCACGTGTATGCATATAGACTGTGCATATACCTAAATATATCGTTTTGGTGTATGTATATGTATACACTTAAAGGAACCCTGATGTTAAGTCTTTAAATGGTTTATTACTAACTGAAAGGTCAGTGGTTCAAACCCACCGCCTTGGGGAAAAGTGTCATGTGCTTCTGTAAAGATTATAGTCTTGAAACCTTATGAGCAGTTCTCTCTTCTTACCAACTGCTGTTTCAGATTCATTCAAGCCTGTTATGTTTCTGCGTTGCCCTGACTTATTTTCATTGTGCTCATGCACACTGAGGGTATACTCTTGATTCCTTGTCACTAGAGGCTCTCTGCTTTGATGCCTAATTAAAGATCTTCTGTGTATCACATCTGTCTTTCTACCAAAACCTACAACATAAAGCCTACCATTAGTTTTACAGAAACTGTTTCCCTCAAAGAGTCACTCAGTGCTGATCTCCCTTTCTGACTCATAGCAGATTTGAAGGCTGAGTAGGAGTCACTGAAAGTAAAGTACCCAGGAAGTGGGTGAAAGAAGCTGGTTTAGGTTATTTTTATAACACACAATTTGTCAGAGATAGAGCACCATATTCTTTGACACCTCAGAGTTCACATGAAACCACCAATTCCAATGTCTTATTTTAAAGGACTGCCCAGATGTTTAATTTTTTTAGTGGTAGTTTATTTTCCTAATATTTCATGAGCAAACTGTAAGCCTTCGTGCCCTGCTAGGTGGTTTTTTAGGTTTCTTTTGTTTGTATTGTTTTTAATGCAACATATATCTTTTTTTACAGTATATTCTTTCCATTTAATTTTTTCCCCATTCATTCATTGTTGCACATTTTTCTCCCTGCCCACTCCTCCCCTCAGTTTGTTTTTCTCTTTGAAAAGAAAAAAAATTCTTTCATTGTTATACAATCCCAAGTCCACAGTCCACTTTAATATGCATTTCTTTTTTCTGTAATCTTGTCATGAAAATAATACCTAATCCTGTATTCCTTTTAAACACTTCTCTCCCTCATCTGTTTCAATGCAGTATTCATTATTTATCCCCTCTTTCTTAGGTTCCCCACAACTCTGATGTCAGTCCCGTTTTACAAGAGTGGTATTATGCAGTATTTACCCTTTTGTCACTGAGATATTTCACTCAGCCTACTGTCCTCCAGTGTCACCCATTTTGTATATTTCATGAGTTTCTTGTTTTTCAGTGCAGCATAGTATTCCATTGTGTAACTGTACCACAGCGCCTCTATCCATTCGTTTGTTGATGGGCACTTGGGTTGTTTCCAACTCTTTGCTGTTGTGAACAAAGCAGCAATAAAAATGGGTGTGCATACATCTGCTTGGGTGGCAGTTCTGATTTCTTTAAGGTAATATACCCAGTAGTGGAATTGCTAGGTCAAATGGTATTTCTACTTGTAACTTTCTGAGAAAGCGCTACACCGCCTTCCATAGTGGTTTGCACCATTTTATTCCCACCAGCAGTGATAAGGTTCCAGTTTCTCCACAACCTTGCCAGCATTTGTTGTTTGCTGCTCCGTTGAATTTTGCTATTCTTACTGGGGTAAGATGATATCATCGTTGTTTTGATTTGCATCTCTTAGTGCTAGGGATTTTGAACACTTCTTAATGTGTTTGTTTGACATCTGAATGTCTTTGTTGAAATGTCTGTTCATATCTTGTGCCCATTTTTCAGTTGGGTTGTTTATCTTGCTGTGGTGCTTGAGTATTCTATAAATTGTAGCTACAAGTCCCTTATCAGATATCTCATTGCCATATCTTTTTCCCCAGTCTGTGGCTTCCCTTTTTACCCTGTTGGAGAAGATTTTGGATGTGCAAGGGGATTTTATTCTTAGAAGGTCCTATTCATCTATTTTATCCTTTCCTGGTTGTAGGTTTTTCAGGATGCTTGGAAGACTGTTTTTGTTGTAGATTAGGGCTTCTAGAATTCTTCCAAGATTTTCTCTAATGAAGTTTATAGTCTTTGGTTTTAGTCCTAGGTCTTTGATCCACTTTGAGTTGGTTTTTGTGTATGGAGTGAGGTGTGGTTCTTGCTTGAGTTTTTTACAGACAGGTTTCCAATTTTTCCAACACATTTTTTAAAAAGGCTGTCGTTTCCCCACTTAACTGATTTCATCTCCTTGTCAAAAATCAGTTGACCATTGGTAGATGGACTGATTTCTGGTTTCTCAGTTCTATTCCATTGATCTATGTATCTGTCATTGTACCAGTACCATGCTGTCTTGACCACTATGGCAGTGTAATAGGGTTTGAAATCAGGGGGGGTGAGATGCCTCCAAAGGAGTGCTTTGCTTATTTGGGGCCTCTTTCCATTCCAAATGAAATTGGAGATTGCCATTTCCATCTTGTTGAAGAATGAAATTGGTATTTGTATTGGGATTGCATTGAACATGTAAATTGCCTTTGGTAGTATTTTTATTTTCACAATTTAGAGTCTTCCTATCCATGAGTGAGGTACATTCTTCCATTTCTCCAGGTCTCTTTTTGCTAGTTGTAGTAATTTTTTGTTGTTTTCTTTGCATAGATCTTTTGTATTTCTAGTTAGATTTACTCCCGTGTTTAATCTTGTGATTAGCTATTTTAAAGGATTGTCTATTTCAAACTATTTTCTGTAGCAAATGAGCCTTTACTACTAAGACATAGTTTCATTTAATTTTATTTTTATAAATAGATACTGTAAGACATAAAATGAGGGGCAAATGTTTCACATATAATAAAAAATTATAATTAGGAAAAAGTTACGTAGAAGATTTTGTTTGTAAGGGTGTGGTTATTGTTCTTGTTTTACTGTTGTAGGCCTGTTGGGTTTTCCGCTTATCATAACTGAGCTTATGCCAAAGTATGTCTCATTATTTGTAAGACTGATGTCTATTTTCTTTGTTACAGCTGTTTTTATATCAAATATTACGTGGTTTGGCATATTGCCACAGAAGAAAGGTGTTACACCGAGACTTGAAACCACAGAACCTCCTCATTAATGAAAAAGGAGAATTGAAGCTAGCAGATTTTGGTATGGATTGTGTGAAATTGTTGAATGTACTTTGAGAGTGATTAAGTTTTTTTAAAAAGTTACTGTCACAGTGTGTCGCCATTTTTATGTGGATTTTCAGAGTTCTCTGTAACCCATAGAACAAAGTATTTGACAGAACCTTGGTGGGTGAGTTAATAACTTGGATCATAAGCTTTTTATTAATGATAAAGGCTGAAAGCTGCTCATTCTCAGGGTGTGGTCCATAGACCCTATCAGTCCTACTGAACAGTCCTAAGATCCTTGGAACTTCATGAAATTTACTTCTTCTTTGGTGAAATTTGGTGATTTGGTACTGCTCATGCAGATATTTTAATTAATAATAGAAAATTGTCTTTTATCATAATGTCATATTCTATTTAACTTACTTGGTTTGAAAGAGATTATTGCTTATTTTATGTTTTACTCATACCGATACACTAATTATGAGCAGGGACTTGTCTGAAAGAGCACCTTATTTCAGAATCTCCTCAGGAAAAGAAGAGTAAGTACTGAGGATTGTGTAGAATACTGTAAGACAAGCAGGTTGTGATCCCATCTTTTAAGCTTCCATAGATCAGAGCCAAATGAAGCATGTTGTTATTGCAGACTCCTAGCAAGCCTGTTGGACAAAGTAGTTCTGCCTCACAGGGTTCCTAGGTTGTAATATATGTGAATGCAGACTACCACGTTTTTCTTGCACAGAGCAGCAATTGGTTTGAACCACCAACCTGTTGGTTAGCAGCTGCCACATAACCCACTGTTCCATCGTGTCTCCAAGATTCTCTCTTACTATGATTAATCATAAAGTTGTCCCTGTTTTGATACTTAACCAGATTTAATAGAAAAAGAATTATCAGATTTACTTTATCAAGTGGGATGATAAATTAAAACTTCTAATTAAATGACATATTAGCAGCATTGTCCTCATTACATCCTATAAGCATTAGTTGTTGAAAATTATGTCAAGTTGATTCTGATGCATGACAATTCACGTGTGTGGAGTAGAACTTTGCAATAGAATTTTTAAGGCTGTGACCTTTCAGAAGGGTCTCATTAGGCCTATTGAGTCACCTCTGGGTAGGTTTAAACAATCAGTGTTTTGATTAGTAGTCAAGTTTTTAACCATTTGTACCACCCAAGAATTTCTAAGGCATAATGCTAAACTAAACTAGTATGAATGCTGCCTAATTGTTTAAATTTCTTAGGGTGACTACATTTTAGTTATGTGCCCTAGTGTCAGAACTGACTACTACATGACCCTAGGGCAGATTTTCAGGGGGTGTAAATAATATGCAGAGTAGCTGGGGGATATGAACCATGAGCCTTCAGATTGACAGTGCACCTCTTCACCTGCTGTTCTAGGCCACCAGAGCTCTGTGTGACTACGGCTACTTTAATAAAATACTGAATTTCTTACTTTATATTAAATACCTGTTGTTTATTAAATATATGTTGTTGCTGTTAATGTACCATCAAGTTGGAACCAACTAATAGCTGTCCCTCCAGCCCACTAGGTTTTCAGAAGCAGAAAATTACATGGATTGCCCTTCTTTGCCTACAGAGCAGCTGATGGATTTAGAATGCTTGCCAATGCAGCTCCTTACCACTAGACCACCAGAGTTCCTAATTATACATAACAGAAATCCTAACCCTAAATATGATTTCTCTTTTACTATTTAATAGAAGATATATGTTAAAATAAATTTGCATTTCTTAACTTCTGGGCAATGACTAGGGATGATAGGGAATTGATACCTTTGAACTGTGGTGCTGGAGACAAATGCTGAATATTCATACCATGGACTGCCAGGAGAGCAAATAGGTTCATCCTAGAGGGGGTGAAACCAGGCTGTTCCTTGGAAGCAAGGATTCTGAGGCTTCATCTGACATAATTGGGCATGTTACAAGGGGGGAACAGTTGTTGGAGAGGAACATAATGCTTGGAAGGGTGGAAGGACACAGAAAGAGAGGAAGAACATTGATGAGATGATTTGATTCAGTGACTGGAGTAATGAGGGTAGGGTGTCAGAGAAAGTAAAGTGGACTCAAGATAGAGCAGGTTTCAGCGCTGTTATACATAGGGTCACTATCAGTCACAAGCGACTTGAAGGTACATGACAACAACAACTTCAGGTGTCTTTTAGAAGTGCTTCTCAGATGATCAGAAATTTTGAGCCTTGAAGGTAGTAAAAACAACTCCCATAACTGAGATACAGTTTGAACTCTGTTTGGTCTTTTTTCCCTAAATACACTGTGAACTCTATACAGAATTGACAAAAGAATGAGTTGACACATCTTACACCATTTATGGCAACTAAAAATTGTTATTTATTGCCATTTGATAATAATAACTTATTGTTGTATACCATACAGTTGGAACCAATTCATAACTAACTCTTCGGCAGGATTTCAGAGGCAGTAAATCACAAAAGAGGAGACTGCCTGTCTTTCTCTGGAGCCAACTGGTGGATTTAAACCATGCACCTTGGGTTGCCAGTGCAACTCCTTATCACGAGACAACCAGAGTCCCCATATCAGTTATTCAGTATTGTTATTTGCTCAGTGAAAGAATTACTCACGTAAAACCTAAAAACAACTAAAAGAGTAAAAAGCAGAATTGAAACCTATTCCAAGGATAATTGTTAGTTGCCACTGAGTCAGTTTCAACTCATCATATTTTTTTCTAACTTGTCAGCAAAATTTAAAAAAATAGGGACCAATATAAGTGAAAATTGGTGTGAATGAAAGTTGAGATTAGATTAAAAGTTGATAAGTTTGCTTGGCTCCATAGTCAACAGTCTTGGCACAAGCAGCCAGGAAATTAAAAGGCTCATTGCCATGGTAAAGTCTGCTGTTAGGGACCTCTCCGAAGTCCTGAAGAGCAATGGTGTCTCTCTGGAGACTAAGGTGGGTCTGATACAGGCCATGGTCTTCGCAATCACTTGTTATGCATCAGAGAGTTGGACAATGACCAGGGAGGATAGAAGGAGAATTGATGCCTTTGAGCTGTGGTGCTGGAGAAGAGTATTGAGAATACCATGGACTGCTAGGAAAACAAACAGATTTGTCCTGGAAAGGGTTAAACCAGGTGGCTCCTTGGAGGCAAAGATTCTGAGGCTCCGTCTAACATACTTTGGACGTGTTGTGAGGCGGAACCGGTCCCTGGAGAGGGACATCATGCTTGGGAGGGTGGAGGGACAGCGCAGGAGAGGAAGGCCCTCTATGAGGTGGATTGATTCAGTGACTGGGATAATTGGGATGGGAGTGTCAGAGACAGTGCGATTGGCACAGGACAGAGCGGAGTTTAGGGCTGTTGTACATAGGGTCGCTATGAGTCGCAAGCGACTCGACGGCACATGACAACAACAACAAATGTTTATAATACTTAAGAATTCAAATTGTGCATGTCAGTGTCATTGACCTATTTTGGGCTTATTTAATTTGTATAAAAATCATTTTAGCATCATGATTAATGGAGAAAAGAAAAATGTTTTGTGTTTGGATAAAATCAGACACTGTACCGTGTACATTCAAATACTTAAAAATAAGCATCTTTTCTTATAGAATTAAATATGAATTTGCTGATCCAAGATCATGTTTTTTTTGTTGATATATGCTGTCAAGTCGCCTATGACTCATAGCGACCCTATGTACAGTAGCTCTGAACCCTGCTCTATCCTGAGCCAATCTTAATTGTCTTTGACACATCTACCCCCATTAGCCCAGTCACTGAGTCGATCCATATCATCCAGGGTCTTTCCCTCCTGCGTTGTCCCACCATACTCCCAAACATAATGTCCCTTTCCAAGGACTGGTCCCTCTTTGCAACATGCCCCGAGTATGTCAGAAGAAACTTCAGAATTCTTGCCTCCAAGGATCAGCCTGGTTTCACCATCTCCAGGATGACCCTGTTCATTTTCTTATCAGTCCATGGTATATTCAATACTCTTCTCCAGCATCACAGCTCAAAGGCATCAATTTTCTCCTTCTATCATCCCAAGTCATTGTCCAGCTTTCTGATGCATAGCATGTAATTATGAAGACCATGGCCAGGATCAGGTGCACCTTTGTATCCAGACTGACATTGTTGCTCTTAAGTACTCTGGGGAGGTCCAAGACTTTCCCAGTACAATTCATCTTTTGATTTTTCAGCTGTTAGTACCAAGTGTATTAATTGTGGCACCAAGTAAAGATCATAAACACACAAAAATATTTTTAGATAATTTTGTTTTCATTTCTTCAAATTCCCAAATAGCTGTTTAAGGCATTCTTTAGTTTAGAGTTAAGTTTAGGAATTCCATCATAGCAATTTCTCTAATCTTTGTTTTGTTTTCTTTTTACAGGACTAGCGAGAGCCAAGTCAGTTCCCACAAAGACCTACTCAAATGAAGTTGTCACATTGTGGTACCGGCCTCCTGATGTTCTGCTTGGTTCCTCGGAATACTCAACACAGATTGACATGTGGTAAATATAGGCAGATGGTATTATCATACTGTTGTATGTGTTGTTCAGTTGCTGTGACTCATAGTGACCCTAAGTACAACAACCCTGAACTCTGCTCTATCCTGTGCCAGTTTTATTGTATCTGACACACCCAGCCCATTACCCCAATCACTGAACCAATTCATCTCATCAAGGATCCTCCACTCCTGTGCTGTCCCTCCACCATCCCAAGCATGACATCTCTCTCTAAGGACTGGTCCCTCCTTACAACATGTCCAAAGTATATTAGACAAAACTTCAGAATCCAAGGAGCAGCCTAGTCTCACCCTTTCTAGGATGAACCTATTTGTTCTTCTAGCAGTCTATGGTATATTCAGTACTGTTTTCCAGCACAACAGCTCAAAGGCATCAATTCTTCTTCTGTCATCCCTAGTCATTGTCCAGCTTTCTGATGCACAGCAAGTAATTGGAAAATCTATGGCCTGGATTTGGCACACCTTAGTCTCCAGACTGTCATTATTACTCTATAGCTTTTAAAGAAGGGCATACCAATAGCTAAGTTTCAAGGTGACATTAGTTTAACAAGCAACAGTATAAACAGTGGTTAAGAATTCTAATGGTACAACCACTTTGGAAAGCAGTTTGGTGCTTCCTCAAAAAGTTTAACATAGAAATTCCATGACTCAGATATTCCACTGGTTGGAATATATCCCAAGAGACAGAAGCGAGGCCCAAACGGAGACTAGCATACCAGTTTTCATTGCGGCATTATTCACCATCACAAGAACGTGATAACAGTCCCAGATGTCCAACTACAGTTGAATGGATTGAGAAATTATCATACATTCACACGATGGAATATTACACAGCACACGGGAGCAATGATCTGGTACATTACTACCTAACTTGGGAGGGACTAGAGAGCATTATGATACATGAACTAATTCACTTCCATAAGAACAAATATATTGTATAAGACCATTATTGTAGAACGAGTATGAGGACCCAAAGAGGGTTGGGCGGCAGAGGACAGAGGATGGGGGCGCGGTATTTAATCATAGGGTCACACAATTTGATGGGTGGAGGGAGGTGGAGGTGAAAGAAATGGGAAAGGTCTGGTGTGAAAAACAGTGGATACAAACTTTGTAAATAAACCAGTATAAAGTTTAAAAAAAAAAAAAAAGAATTCTACCACAAAAGATAGACAGATCACCCAGGTTCAAATACTGATCTTATTCTACATAATAGCCTTATTTAAATTACTGGCATGTGACTTAGTTTTCTCCTTTGTGGAAATAGGAATAATTTTATATGTAACTTTTTCAAAAGTCTTTTGGATAGTGTTAAAACTCAATGAACTAATAATAGCAATTTGAAACAAAATTACTGATAGTCATTTTATATTTACTAAAATCTACATAACAAGCTTTTCAAAACCCTTTGAACACTAAAAGAAGAGGATAAAGTAGTGTAGTGGTAAAGCCCAGACTGGAAGCCAGTTGAAATGAGGAAAAACAATAACACATTGTGTAATAATAATTGGAATATGGGATGTACGTAGCTTTAATGTTGGAAAACGGAAAACTGTTAAAAATGAAATGGAATGCATCAATATCAATATACTAGGTATTAATGAGATGAGATGGACCAGATTAGGGCATTTTGAATGAGATAGTCAAATGGTACACTATTCAGGGAATGAAAAACAGAAAGAATAGTTTTGCATTCACAGTCAAAAAGTCAATTTCAAGTTCTATCCCGAAAGACAATGTTGTTAGTGATAGGATAATATTCATACACATAAAAGAAAGGCCTCTTAACATGATTATTACTCAGGTACATCCTCCTGTATGTAGAGCCAAAGAAGAAGAAATTGAGAATTTTTACCAAATATTGCAATCCAGAAGTCCCCAAATATAAAAGTAGGAAACAGTGAAGAAGGAATAGTAGTTGGAAAATATGGGCTTGGTGATAGAAATAATGCTGGAAGTAGAATGATTGAATTTTGTATTTACAATGATTTATTCATTGCAAATACCTTCTTGAAAGACCTAGATGGCTACCTTACACATGGATCTTACCTGATGGGGTGCTTAGGAATCAGGTTGACTACATTTGTGAAAGAAATCATTGGAGAAACTCAGTATTGGCAGTCAAAACTAGGCAAGGGGCATCTAAGATGATTGTGGGTCAGATCATCAATTATTCATATGCAAGTTCAGATTGAGGCCAAATGAAAATAAGTCTATAGGAATCAAGATACGATCTTAAATCAATTCTATCTGAATTTCAAGATCATCTTTTAAGAAAAGATTTGAAGCATTGAACACCAACGATCGAACCAGATGAGTTGTGGGATGATATCAACCATGAAGAAAGTAAAAGGTTATTACAAAAACAGAGGCCAAAGAAAAAATAAAAATAGGTGTCAGAAGAGACTCTAAAGATTGCAGTGGAGCATCGAGAAGCTAAAGCAAAAAGGAAAACATGTTGAAGAGAAAGAGCTGAACAGACGATTTCAAAGGGCAGCTTGGGAGGACAAAGAAAAGTATTATAATGTAATGTGCAGAGTGCTGGAATTGGATAATAAAAAGTGAAGAATGAACTCTGCATTACTCAAGTTGAAAGAACTGAAAAATAAATTTAAACCTGATGTCACAATATTGAAAGATGTTATGGGGAATATAGTGAATGACCCCAAAAGCATCAAAAGAAGATGGAGGGAGTACATAGTCTCTACCAGAAAGAATTGATTGACACTGAAAATTTCAGGAAGTACCATATGAAGAGGAGCCAAAGATAATGAAGGAGCAAGTTGAGGTTGTATTGAAGGCATTGGCAAAAAATAAAGCCCCAAGAATAGATGGGTTACCAGTTGATTTATTTCAATTACCAGATGCAGCCTTGTATGTGCTCACCAGTCCCTGCTAGGCAATTTGGAGGATGGCTTTTCTGGCCAAAGAGGTCCATATTTACTCCTATTCCTGAGAAAGGTGATCCAACTGAATATGGAGATTGTCAGACAATATCATTAATATCACATGAAAGCAAAATACTGATGAAGATCATTCAAAAACGGCTGAAAAAAATTAAATAAACAACAACATGGCTAGAACAGTTTGTAGATAGGGAACTGCCAGAAGTTCAAGCAGGATTTAGAAGAGGCTATGCCACAAGGGATATCATTGCTGGTGTCGGCGGGATTCTGGCTGAATGTAAGGAATACCAGAAGACTGTCTATTTGTTCTTTATTGACTCTGCAAACGCATTTGATTGTGTGGATCATAACTAGTTGTGGCTGATACTGAAAAGACTGGAAATCCCAGCACTTAATTGTGCTCCTGCAAAACCTATGGACCAGGAGGCTGTTGGGTGAACAGAGCAGAGGAACACTGCATGGTTTAAAATTGAGAAGAGAGTGTGTCAGGCTTGTATTCTTTCTCCATACCTATTCAATATGTATGCTGAGCAAACTATCTGAGAAGCTGGACTCTAAAAAGAGTGTGGCATCCGGATTGGAGGGAGACTCATCAATAACATGCATTATGCAGATGACACAACCTTGCGTTCTGAGAGTGAGGAGGACTTGAAGCACTTGTTGCAGAAGATCAAGGAATGCAGCCATTGATATGGATTGTGTTTCAGTGTTGAGAAAACAAAGATTCTTACCACTGGACTGAAAGGCCATGATGAATGGAAAGGAGATTGAAACTTTCGAGAGTTCTATCTTGCTTGGATCCACAGTTAACAGCCTTGATACCAGCAGTCAGGAAATAAGGAGACGCACTGCACTGGGAAAATCTGCAGTTAGGGACCTCTTCAAATTAGTGAGGAGTAATGATGTTAGTTTGAGGACTAAAGTGCATCTGAGAGCTGGACAGTGAGTAAGGATGACAGAAGAAGAATTGCCTTTGAGCTGTGGTGTTGGAGAAGAGCACTAAACATCCCATGAATGGCTAAAAGAATGAACAGATAGATCTTGGAGAGGGTGCAGCTGGTGTGCCCTTTGGAGGTAAGAATGATGCAGCTTTACCTCACACACTTGGGTGTGTTGCCAGGAGGGGCTATTCCTTGGAGAAGAACATGATGCTGGGAATGGTTGAGGCTCGGCGAAGGAGAGGAAGACCCTCAACCAGGTGGATTGACATGGTGACTGCTACAGTGGGGTGTGTCAGGAAGTATGAGGATGGTGCAGGATAGAAGAGGGTTTAGATCTTTTGTTCATAGGATCGCGAAGAGTCGTACTCAATTCAACAGCACCTAACAACAACAAAATCTATGTTAGAAATGAATGAAAATAATTTTCAAAATATTGTAACCTCTTTATCATGAACTATTTACACCATGACATTCCTCTATTCATACAACCTTGTTCTGCCCCATTCATTACCTATATCATAAGATAAATTCCTCAAATATGCATAAGATGTCTCTAAATTAGCCTTTATCTCTAATTCAAACAATTTCTCCTAAACATTCCTTTTAGCCAAGTGGATACTGTCTCTTAAAAAACAACCTGAACTTTTTTACCGTTGTGTTTTTGTTTCAGTCTACATGTTTAGAATACCTGCTTTCTCTAACTGTGCCTTGAGCCTAGTAAATTCTAAAGTCAGGTCTCACAAATCCTTCTGAATGTACACTAGCCACGGATGATAATTCCTTCCAAAGAACTGCAGTAGCGTTTATAGTCAATATTCATGTAGTGAATAATGTTATACTTTTTTTCTGTTACTGTCCTGAACAGTTTTATAAAAAACTGTTTTATATAACATGTTGGCATGTAAGTTTTATTTACAGTTGCCAGATTGTATGCCTTTTAATCGAAGGACTGTGTGTCTTTAAACTTATATTCATAAACTTGTATTCATATAGTTCCGGGAAGACCATATTCATCCACATAGCCTCCATGCCTTTCTCTCCCCTCTCTGTACCCTTCTTGCACCTACGTGATCTGACTCTGCTCCTGCCTAAAAAAACTTGAAACATTTGTTTCTCTCTCAACATTGCATTGTGCTTGCTGTCATCATCACAGTCTCTTCACTTGATTTCCCTCCTTTCTGTCTTGTCCTCTCCCAGCCCTTGAGCACTATTACAGCTGATATAAAGAATCAATAAGATAATAAAGCACTTAAAAAACAGTTCCTCATACATAGTAAGAATTCAGTCATTATTAGTTATTGTTAATGTTTTTCTTCAGGGATCATCTAGAGCAGAACTGAACTCTTTAATTAGGAAAAAAATAGAAGAAAATGAAAGTTGAAACAAATGAAAGTAATACTTAATTTTAATTAGTTCTGAGAGAAAAAAAATCTCTGTGGGAGGTTTATTAGCAGGTTAGTTAAATTCTCCAGAGAGGCAGTCTAAAGGAAAGGGTTCTTCGTCTTCATAATATGTAAATAGATTGCTTACCATTTTTTCCTCTCTCCTGTCTCCCATGTTATATTTTAAAGGGGTGTTGGTTGCATTTTCTTTGAAATGGCTTCTGGAAGACCTCTGTTTCCAGGATCAACTGTGGAAGATGAATTGCACTTAATTTTTCGACTGCTAGGTAACAGAAGAAACCCTTTCCCAGTGATTTTACAACTTTACTGACTAGCTGAATAAGATTTTATTCTGAAAGTTTTGATCTTTTATCTTAAGACTATAAATATCATTTTTGGTAATTATAGTTAGCATACATATTTTAATGAGTGATCTTTTGAGGTGACTTCATTTACTAAGTACACTTTTATAATGAAGATATTATGGAGGAACAGAGAAGAAAAGTATTCTTGAAAATAGACCATTAGCATATTATAAAGAAATACGTACAGCCTAAGTATCAACTAGGCAGAAAAGAGACCGGACAGCATTTTTGTGACATCATTGTATAGTCCAATAAGATCTCTATTTTTTTACAGTTTCTGTCATTCTTGTTTCAGTTGAAATATTTAGTTCATTTAGTAAATGTAAGTTATTTATATCACATGTATTGATATATTTACATATATAAAATTTATATATAAATGTTTGTTTTTAAATTCAAGGAACTCCATCTCAGGAAACGTGGCCGGGTGTTTCTTCAAATGATGAGTTCAAGAACTACAACTTTCCAAAATATAAACCACAGCCTCTAATTAACCATGCACCTAGGTATTTGTTTGTTTCCTTAAATTGAAAAAGGGAGTAAACCTACAGAGTTCTTTTTATTATGTTGAGGCATTAATGAAAATAGGATTCAGAAGGAAATATACATAATATACCATATATTCGTCAGTATTTCAGGATGCTAGTTTTATTGAAAATGTGCCTTCCTACACCAGATCGATTGCATCACGAAAGTAGGAAAACAAAAATGTCTGTAAATAAAATTAGTATAAGCTTATGTAAAAGAATCTCAGAGTCTATGTAGATACTCAGAAAGATTCTGATGCTTGTTCAGTATCCTGAAGAGTTACTTGCTTTCTACAAAATTATTCTATATTGACTTGGAAAACTTAAAAATTTGTTATAAGTGAATTCACAACCTGATGCAAGATGAGACACATCAGTGTTTTTGTCAGTGTTGATGACAATGCTTATATTTGAAGAATATAAGCTTTTCCTGAACTTTCAGCAAAATTTATTTTCGTAAAGGTTAGCCATTGATAAAACCAGTTGAATTTTCTTCTGCTACCTACCTCAGATGGACTGTCAGTTAGCATTTGAGTCAGAACTTGTGTTTTCAGTAAGTAAAATAGAAAAACTTACTTCTTTTACTACATTTCCTCATCTTTCCGTTAAAAAAATTTAGGAAGGAATCAAGATTCCAAATAAGGACATGCTGTGTCTTAGTCAAAAGCTATTCACACTGCTCACAGCAAAACACACTTTTTCTGCTTTAGTCTCTAAATGGGGAAGAACAGAAAACTGTTCTGACACAAAAAATATTTTTAAAGTGTTTTAAAGTGTTTGTATGAATTGATAGTCTTATTGTTACTATAGTAACTTGTATCATTCTAATTAGACTTATGTAGGAAGAATATGGTCCTGTACCAGGCTTTTTTGTGTGCAAATCTTTTTTCTCATTTATGTATTGGTTGCTGTTTGAAATTTTAAGTGTAGAAAGTTGAAGCTTATCTTTAATTCGTGACCTTAGCCCCTAGCTTGTTTATTGCAAGAGAATTCTGGTTATGTGCCAGAATGACAGACCGTAGAGATTTAGTCTGGAAAGTATATGATCCTCAGCATCTACAATGTTGTGACAATTGAAACTATGTGGGGAAAGTAGGACTTCATTCATCATTGTGCTTTTGTAGTAGAATATATGATTTCTGATTAAAGAGATTATCATTAAGGGATTCCTGAGCCCCACTACTCTCATGTTAGTTTTATAAGTTGTAATTATTTGTCTGTTTTGGCTGTATAATTTGTTTTGTTAACTCTTAAGTTTTACGAAGTTATTGTACCATATTTAAACTGCACTTTATACCTTCTAGTATCTAATGATGAATGGATTGTTTTGTTATAATTTTTGAATAGCTTGTCTCTGTGCTTATTTTGAAAAACTGTCACACGTTTCTGGGTTACTTGTCTGTTTTCAACTATGTAATAGGAAAATAGTGTCTCAGTACTTTTGTCTTCAGTGGAACACTATGAAAAGATTAATTTTATTAATGCTTCCCTATTCTAAAGGTTGCAGGAGGAGAATAGACAGTCTCTTCCTGTGCGATTAACTTTATTTTGAGCAGAATGGTGATTTTAAAATATTCTTTTTATAGTTCTAATTTACTCTTAAAGGAAACTTGAAGTCCACTTTATATATTCTTCCTATGCTAGCACAAGATAAGTTTTTTGTGTTGAGTTTTTTTCACAGTAAAACATCAGAGTCTGTTTGAATTAAAAAAGAATGAGTATTTTAGGGCACTTAAATTTGACAGATTATAATATTTAGAGAATGGTTTTACCAAAGGGATTTCTATTAGCTAAGAGTAAAGAATTAATTTTCACTCTTTTGTTGTTGTTTCTAGGTTGGACTCTGAAGGAATTGAGTTGATAACGAAATTTCTTCAAGTAAGTTGTAATCTTATTTTGTACTTATTTCTGCGCAGTTAACTTCTCAAAACTTAAGTTTCCTTAGCTTTGAAACAGTCAGTAATATGTCATCAATTTGTTGTGACTAAGAAATATTATTACTTTACAGTACTAACCAACATGTTTCAGACACTTGCTTAAGTCAAAAAAACCTATGGTTTTTCTTAATGTTCATCATGACTGAAAACAGTCTGAAGGCGTCAACCACTGGTGTTGATCAGTTGTATCAAGGCCATGCTTTCCAAAATTCACACTTTCCATCTGTTTGCTTACTGCCTTAAAGACTCCAGTGTTCCTCCTGTGCATATTCATGTCTTCATTCAAATCAGAAAAAGGAGGGGAGGCTAAAGGTGATACCAATCACATTGGTTCTTTTTTTTCTTGTTGGCTAGAACATAATTATGAGAGAATTTAGAAATTGGAAAGCATAATTATTAAAACTGAGTCTGATCTCAGCCTAATCTGGTTCATGATAAGCATTGTTGCTTCTGAGTGCCTCTGGATGGTTTCAGACCCCTGACCTTTTGGTTGGTAATTGAGTAGTTACTTAACCATTTGTACCACCTATGGACTCTAGGAAGCATTTACAGCCTGAAAAATTTTTTTTACATTACCAAGGAAAAATAGAGAAAAACAGCTATTCTATACATAGTTCATATTTACTATTAAAGTATTAGGGAACCTTATTATTGTTGTTATATGCCGTCAAGTCACCTGCTACTCAGAGAAACCTTATGTACAACAGCCCTAAACCCTGCTCTATCCTGTGCCAATCTCACACCTACCCCAATTACCTCAGTCACTGAATTAATCCATTCATAGAGGGTCTTCCTCTCCTGAGCTGTCCCTCTACCCGCCCAAGCAGGAGTCGTTCTCTGAGGAGTGGTCTTTCTTGCAACATGTCCATAGCCTGTCAAAGCTTCATAATCCTTGCCTCCAAGGAGCAGTTCCTGGATGAACCTGTTCCTTTTCTTAGCAGTCCATAGTATATGCAGAATACTTCTCCAACACCACAACTCAAAGGCATGGATTGTTCTTCTATCCTCTCTAGTCATTGTCCAGCTCTCTGACACATAGCAAGTGATTGCAAAGACTGTGGCCTGTGTTAGGCACACTTTAGTCTCCAGAGTGACACCATTGCTCTTCAGTACTCTGGAAAGGTCCCTAACAGCAGACTTTCCCATTGCCTTACATCTTTAATTTCCTGGCTGCTGGTGTCAAGAGTGTTGATTGCGTAGCCAAGTAAACTAAAGCTGTTAACAATCTCAATCTCTTCACCATCCATCCTGATGCTGCCAATTAGCCCATTGGTGAGAATCTTTGTCTTCTTGATATTGAGCTTCAATCTATATTGAAGGCTGCAGTCCTTGACCTTCTTCAGCAAGCACTTCAGGTCCTCCTCAGTTTCAGCCAACAGGTTGTGTCATCTGCATAACGCAGATTGTTGATGAATCTTTCTCCAAGCCTAATGCCACACTTCTCTTCATAGTTTTTCATTAATTTTTCATCACTTCAGAAAAATTAAAGACTTTAAAATTCTGGTAAAATTCATTTTTAACTTTAGAACTCAAATATAATCATTAATATAATGTTAATGCTACTTAATCTCAATAGCAATTCAAATTAGAGTGTATCTGGAGTATTCCAAATTGATGCTTGAAAAGTAGTCATCAAATTAAGTAATCAAGCTTAGAAAAACTAATTCTGAAGGCTAATTTGACCTTTCCATCCTCTTTATACCAATTAGAGGTAAAATTGTTAAAGCAATTCTTTATCTTTTTACAGTATGAATCTAAGAAAAGAGTTTCAGCAGAAGAGGCCATGAAGCATGTGTATTTTAGAAGTCTGGGACCAAGAATACACGCTTTATCTGAAAGTAAGACATTTTAGAGGTCGTCCGCCCTCTTTACTTTATTTCTACATACTCAAGGGACTAGGTTAAATTAGGTATTTAGAGAAATAATTGCAGGTTTTTAGCTTAAAATTCTAGTCTTTTTTGTAACTGAATCAGATTTTTTAAGGTGCTATGTTTTATTTGCCTATGTGTTTAATTTATTCCAAATAACAAACTTTTTACTATTATTTTGTTAGAAAATTCTTAGGAATAATCATTAATCTTATTGGAACTAAACTAGAAAATGCCACATTTTGATAGACATTGTCGTTATTCTAATCCAGCTTGAATTTAGAACTCCTAATAAAAGTAAATTTCTGACAAAGTTTAACAACATCCAACTAAAACATAAGATTGGCCCTTTTGTTGAAGAAGTATGAATATAAATATCCTAAAGATCTAAAGCCTCTTTATTTTGATTACTTTGACTTACTATCTGCATGATAGTGTCATATTAGCGCTTACTAAACATTAAATATCCTATGCTAAGGTTTTACTCTTCACATTTCTTTTTATTCATTATTATTCTAATATTTTATTTTAAATGGAGTAAGGTAATGGCACATTACCTTATTGTTTGGGAATTGAGCTGCCTAGAACTTTTCATCAATTTCCAGTTTTATGTAGTAGTCAGTGACAAAGCTAGTTTCAAATCAAGGATCCTTAAAAATTTTACTTAGAATTTACTGGTTACTTTTTAATGAATGACCATCTCTCAGAGATTGGAAAGGAGAGTTGAATTATACATGTTTTAAAGATGTAATTTTCATTTTAGTATTTATTTCAAGTTTCCTGTTTTGAGCTACACAACTCTTATTGTATTTCATGGAAACTGAAGATAGTTTGAGAACCTGCTAACTTCATCCCGTCATAAGGAGATAGGCATAAGGGAGAGAATGTATTAAACCTGAGTAATGCGTGTAAATTTTTTTTAAAGTTCTCAATTCTTTTCAGTCCTAAAACAAACACAGGTACAGCATGTTTTGAAAGAGAAATTTAAAGGTGGATTATTTTCTTTTTAAAATATTAAGAAGAAAGCAAATTTTTTAACCACGACCTGAATCTTTCATATTGAATCAGCATATATACTTTTAAAAATAATGTTTGTTGATTATATATGTTTTAATAATGTTAGCACTTTTTTTTTATCTATATATTTTAGGTGTTTCAATATTCAGTTTGAAAGAAATTCAGTTGCAAAAGGACCCGGGTTTTCGAAATTCTTCTTATCCAGAGACAGGTGTGTTTGTCATAAACCATTTCACGTGTCGATCATGAATTTTTGCATGGAACCAAGCATTTGGTTTATAAATTGGTCAGTAAATTTATTGATGTAAAAACCAATGTACAGTGCATTCCACAACTGTGTATGTTTAGCATCGCACGTACTCACTTTTTTGTATGATGTGGGCAGCTCAGTAAATCTTCAGAGAGAAATCTGACTCAGTCAAGTCAGGGATCCTGAAAGCTGCAGATGGCACAGAGACCTTTACAAGTGACCTGGCTTGATCACTGAACACGCCATCCTTGGTACCTGAGGCAGAAGACACATCTTGTGCTTCCCTAGTCTTCAGGTTCATCACTCCGAAGCATAGAAGCTGTAGAGTGACTCATCAGCAGAAGGGTCACTTTAAGGCAGTGCTGATCACTCTTACCGTGCGTGGAATATTAGCTTTCGCTTGTGGGAACATTAGCTTCCTAGATTCACCAAATACTGTATGTGGGATAAAACTGAACTTGAACTGCCTCATGAAAATGACTTTATATTTTAGGACATGGGAAGAACAGAAGACAGAGCATGCTCTTTTAAATCTGATAACATGGTTTCAAGCCCAGCCTTTCTTACCAATCAAGGACTCGGACCTGAAGGCAATTATTTCTTTTGGTGGACTTGGAATCTCCGTTTGTCTACACTGTCCTCTTCACAGTGGAGTCTTTTTATTTCAGACCTACAGATTGTTTTTATATTTGTTGTCACAGTGTGACAATTTTTTGTACAGTTGGTTTTAAGGTCTCTTCTGCCATTAGAGCCAGTAGGTTACAGCTATTGATGTAACTGTAGCTGCAATTTTTGTGCAGGACTGAGAAACACAGTGCATTATTTATTGCGGAATCATTGCTGCTAAATAACTACTGTCTGTTTATTTAACACAACAGTTGAATGCCTGAAGAAGTTGCAGTGGCTTTATTATATGTGAATGCATCTGTTTCTCCTCATAAATTGTTTTACTGCTGCATTTTTTGTTTGTTTTTAAAATTAAACTGCAGTTTTTCCTGGAATGTAAATTTAGCTTTGCTTAACAGTAAAATAAGTGAGCCATGTTGGACATTTTAAGTTCATGCTATATGATTTCTTGCTGGCAAACGAGTAGCTAAGAGAGTGATAAGCACATTATGTTTAGGGAAATATATGATGCAGTAGTTGATTCAAGCAAGTGAATACCACACATTTTTGGGGATCTCACCTTAGACCAGTAATTAAAGCACCAGAATTCTTTATTTTCAACATTTTCCACGTTTTACAAATTGTTGTTGGCGCTATTTCAGTTATGTCTCTTAGCAACCTTCTATACAACAGAAGAAACAATGCTCAGTCCTGCACCATCCTTCTAATCACTGCTATGTTTGAGCCCATTGTGCAACCACTGTGTAAGCCCATCTCATTGAAGGTCGTCCTCTTTTTTGAGGATCCTCTACTTTACCAAGCATAATGTCCTTCTCCAGGGACTTGTCTCTCCTGCTAACATATCCAAGTATGTGAGATAGTCTCACCATCCTCATCTCTAAGGAATATTGTGGTTGAACTTCTTCCAAGACAGATGTATTTGTTCTTCTGGCAGCCCATGATATATTTAATGCTCTTCACCGACACCGTAAGTCAAAGACATCTATTAATTCTTCAGTCTTCCTTATTTTTGTCCAGCTTTCACATGTGTATGAGGCAGTTGAAAATACCATGGCCTCGTCAGGCCCACCTTAGTCCTCAAAGTGACATCTTTGTTTTTTTAACACTTTAAAGAAGTCTTTTGCAGCATTCCCCAATGTAATACGTCATTTGATTTTTTTAACTGCTGCTTCTATGGAATTGTGGATCCAAGTGAAAGGAAATCCTTGACAACTTAAGTGTTTTCTTCACTTTTGACAATGTAACTTGTTGGTCAAGTTGTGTGAGGAATTTTGTTTTCATTATGTTGAAGTGTAATCCATACTGAAGGCTGTAGTCTTTGATCTTCATCAGTCAAAATTTCAAGTTCTCTTCATTTTCAGCAAGTGTCATTTGCTTATTGAAGGTTGTCAGTGAGTCGTCTTCTAATCTTTAATGCCACATTCTTCATGTAGTCCTGCTTCTTGGATTATTTAGAGAAATATCAACTGCATACTGCTGAATATTTATATTCTTAATACACTTAACTAATTTTGCTTTGTGCTTTAAAATCAGTTAAACTAAACCATACAAATCCAGTCAAACATGAAAGATCTTGCTTTTGTTCGTTTTAAATACATTTCTTTATAAGGAAAGTTGGTAACTTCATTGGGGAACAATTTCATTTAGGGGCTGTATGTGCTTAAGTTTGTGTTTTAAGAACATTCACTTGGAATCAGCTGAAAGCTGTAATATGCCTTTGAAATGAGCCATGATAAACTACAGTCAGAGAAATGAGAACTCAGAAGATTTTTTTTAAGGATTGTAGGTATTATCTATTTACCAGAGATAGTAAATATTACAGTTTTGATTATGCATCTCTTTGAACATCATAAACACATCTTGGTGTTAAACTAACAGTGTTTTAAGCATTTGTGTTCACTTTTAAGGACTTATTTGTTTAGTGCATCTTACAAACTATAAATCCTAATTGGTATATATTTTGAAATGGTAATGTAAAAATTTTGGCTTATATACCATGAAAATAGTCATAACTTAATTTTTTTTTCCTGACATTCACTGTAAAACATTCAGGGGTCCTACCATTTCTGTTCAGGAAATCTTGTAGTTTATTGTTGTTATTTAACAGTATTAAGTGAATTTTTGTATATTTCATTTTAACTTTATTTGTGAATAGTGATTGTGGCATGTTTGGGAGTGTTATTTTAATATTTCATGATATTAAAATTTTAATTTTTTAAAAAATAATTTTCTGGAAGAAACAGATTCATGTGTAATGGTGAATATTGGACCACTACTGCTTTTCACATTTGTAAATTGATTTTATGTTAAACCTGTAGCCTAACAAACTGCTGTTATTTCTAACTGACAGACATGTATTAATATTGTACTTTGAAGGTTATAAATATTATGTGGAAATTCCTCCATTTTGTTTTGAAATTTCTAATAACAAAATCTCCATGTTGTTAAAAATGTGATTTTGTTGAGTCATACTTTTTGCTTGGGGAAGGCTCTGAAGATTGGAATAATTTATGAGTCTCTGTTTTATTAAGGCAGCAGTGGTATCTACTTAATAGTTATAAAAACCAGTTGTTTTGTTTCTCTGCTCTGATTCTGTTGACTAGAACCCTCAGTTACAAAGTATTTGGTTTAGCATTTCATAAGGAAATGTTTGTTTCTGTGTGTTGTATGTATTACAAGGTTGACATACCTCTTTGATACATCCAGTCTCATTGCTGTTCCTTCAGAACAGATTAGTAGCAAACCCTCCATTTGGTTTCCAAGTTTCATGGGAAAAGATTCCTCATCTCTTCCCAGGGAGCTGCTTGTGGATTTGAACTGCCAGAGATGTTACCTTTGTCTTTCTAGGAAATCTTAGTATATATCTTCATCTTATTAAAGATTTTGGTGAGCAGACAAGTATCTTTTTAATACCAGAGCACGCTTGAAGATTCTGAAATGCTTACAGTGAAAAGAATTGAAACTCAAATACTTAGCCTTAAACAACAATTAGATTAATCTTAACCTGAAAGGATACTTAAAGAGATTATGCCTTTATTTGTTTCTTTTCTTTCTAAATAGTAGTTATTTCACACCTTAAACGTGCCACTCTAAGAGTTAGAAATTATTGCATTCTATTTGGTGTGATAGCAGCCTTATCTTTTAACAACTGCCACTAACATGTTATAATAATCTATTTTATGGACTCAGGTTCATGTGAGTTTAAAAGATAATCTTGCCAAATAGAAGCCTTCTGAATTTACAATTTTAATGTCAATTTTTAAAATATTCATTTCTTAACAGTTTTTCTTTTTTTGATTGGCAAGTTAATTGATATCAGACTTTTAAATGGAAACACAAGCTTATTACGAACAAGCTACTTAAGAATGTGCATACTCCATGTGCTCCAAATTGGAAATCTCCAAATACTCACACTTTGGAATCAAGGAAAGACATGTGTTTTTCTCATTTAGCCTAACACTCACTTTTTAGGTACATACACATCACCTACTATCAGTTTTAGCCAGAGTTAGTATTCATGGTTCATCACTGACAAGAAAATGACCATTGAATTCATCCATTTTCTTTTAAAACACAAGGAATGTAACAAAATGACAAAATATAAAGATAATTAACTTGAAAGTCACATAAAATTTTGACCTATGATAATGGGATACTGCTCATTGATATAAGCCCCTTTATGGGAGAGATATGGGTGATAAGCTTCCAAGAAGCTTTATTTCTAGACTCAGAAGGTGGTGATTCAGTTCTTTTTATAATGTAAGATCAGAAAAAGAAATTTCTGTGGTCGCATTATGTAATTTAGAATTTGCTGTTTATGAGCTTAAAATTCTGAGTTGTGGGTTGCCCCCCCATATTAAAAAAGGCAGAGAATTGGCCATTTAGATTGTCTAGCATTAATAAAAGAACTTCTTTTTCACTGTGTAAAAACCATTTACAGCCTTGGAAACGTCTAGTTTCTGTTACTTAGAATTGACATGGCAATAGGCACAGGATTCCTAGTTTCTGTATTACTGTGTCAGATGACGGTGAATTACAGGCTTAGTGTTTAGTGGAAGTAAATGCATACTGAGTTCCTCCAAAGCTTCCTCTCTTTCCTGAGCCAACCTCTTTTTTCCTTCTTGGAGGACTCTTCCGCTACCCTTCTTTTCTTGGTAATATAACTCATTCTTCAGGTCTCTATGGTTTCTTCCAGAGAGCCTCTTGACCCACGCTGCACATCTGCTATACCACCATACTGGGTTAAATGCTCCATTATTTAATTGTATTTGTTAACTGGATTGTGCACAAAGTAATCCTGAATAATAACTAATATTTATCAGTTATGTAACATTAAATTGAACTTGGCTCTCCTCTCTGAATGAGCCAAAGATAAATATTATAATGTGCCATTGAGTTGCCTTTGTACAGCAGCTCTGAACCCTGCCCTGTCCTAGCCAGTTTCACTAATTCAAACATTCCAACTCCCATAGCCCGAGTTATTGTATCAATCTATCTCATCTGGGGTCTTCCTCTCCTGTGCCGTCTCTGCACCCTTCCAAGCATGATGTCTTTCTCCAAGGACTGGCCTTCTCTTCATGTGCCCGAAGTATGTGAGACCAAGCTTCAAAATCCTAGCTTTCAAAGAGAAACTTGGTTTCACCCTCTCAAAGATTTACTTGTTTCTTGACAGTCCATGATATGTTCAAGACTCTTCTCTAGCACCACAACTCGAAGACATCTATTCTTCTGTCATCCTTATCATTGTCCAGCTCTCTGATGCATAGCAAGTAATTGAGAAGACCATGGCCTGGATTAGGTGCACCCTAGTCTCTAGATTGACTTCGTTGTTTTTCAGCACTCTGGAGAGGTCCCTAACAGCCCATTTCCCCAATGCAATTTGTTTAGCAATCAAAAATTGATAAGAAACTTTGTCTTCCTAGTTTGTTAAAATATGTGACTCTAGAAGTATATATTGTTATTGTTGATAGCCATTGAATCCAGCATGACTCATA